TCCGCCGCCTGGTCCTCCGGCGCCGCCCGGTCCGCCTCCCCCGCCCGGTGCCCCAGCTCCTCCCGGCCCGCCGGCCCCGCCCGGCCCGCCCGGACCTCCCCCCGCGCCTGGCGGTACCGCCCACCGCTCCCCCACCGTAGACCCCCTTTGGCTGACCCCAGCGCTCGGCCACCGATTTAGCTCCGGCGCCTCCCGGCCCGCCTGGTCCGCCCGGCCCTCCGGGTGCCGCCCCCGGCGCCCCCGCCGGCGGTCGTACGTGCCCCCCAATCCGTCTCAGGAATGCAATCGACAACATTCCTCATTACATGTCGTTGACACACACGTGTGTCGTGTCGTGTCGTGTCGTGTCGTGCGTGGTTGTTTGATGGTTCTTCGTGACTACAGCGGCGCTGCCGCCGAAGCCGGTGGTGAAGCCCAGCACGAAGATGAAGCAGTTCAACTGGACCAAGATCCCCAACAACAAGGTGATCTCCTCCTACTGGAAGGACGTCACCGAGGTCAACATCGACCTCGACCCCAACGAAGTCGAGCGCCTCTTCGCCGCCAAGGAGGCCGTCAAGAAGGGTGCGCAATTAACTCCACCGTGTCATGCGTGTCGTGAGCCGTGCGTGTCGTGTCGTGTGCGGTGGTGCGTGTGGCGTGTGTCGTGCTGGTGATTAATGGTGTGCGGTGGTTACAGAGGTGTCCGCGGAGGCGGGCGAGGGGGCGGGAAAGAAGAAGGAAGCCGTGGTCACCCTCATCGACACCAAGAGGGCCAACAACTGCGGTACCGCACTCACACGCACACGCACACGCACACGCACACGCACACGCACACGCACACGCACACGCACACGCACACGCACACGCACACGCACACGCACACGCACGCACCATAGCACACGCATCGATTCATTTCTGATTTTTATTTATTTCATTTTTTCAGCAATTATGCTTGCACGGTTCCGATGCAGCAATGAAGACATCAAGAAGGCCATCCTCAAGCTCGACGAGAACATCCTCACCGCTGAAGGCGTCGAGGTACCTACGCGCAATCATGCGTGTGTCGTGTGTCGTGTGTCGTGTGTCGTGTGTCGTGTGTCGTGTGTCGTGTGTCGTGTGTCGTGTGTCGTGGGTTCATGAACTGAATTTAGTTCCCGCCTACAGAGTTTGCTGGGCTATATCCCGACGGCGGAGGAGCTCGAGCAAATCTCGTCCTACCCCGACGACCGATCCAAGCTGGGCAAGGCCGAACAGTACTTCTGGGAGATTCGGGTAACGCCCCTCCCCACCTTTACACGACACACGCGGCACACGCGGCACACACGATACACACGACACGAGCTCACTGCGAGTGTCGCCTGCGCCCACAGACCATTCCCCGCTTGGAGGCGCGCCTCAAGGCCTTCTTGTTCAAGCTCAAGTACCCCGAGCTCCGCGACTCTGTCCGCCCCGTACGTCGGCCTCTGACCCCCCCCCGGCACTCTTCACTAGCCTCACCGGGTGTGTGTCTTGTCGTGCGTGTCGTGTGCCGTGTGTGCCGTGTGTCGTGCGTGTCGTGTGTGTGTGTTGTGGGACAGGACGTGGACGCGGTGTTGGCGGCGTGCGATGAGGTGAAGAAGTCGACCAAGTTCAAGAAGGTGCTCGAGGTGGTGCTGGCCCTGGGCAACTACCTCAACGGCGGCTCGTTCCGTGGCGCCGCCTACGGGTTCAAGCTCGACGCCCTCAACAAGCTCCGGTACGTCGTCATTCCTGCGCGTGTGCGGCGCGGCGTGCAGCGCGTGTGTGCGGTTGCTTTGACTTACGCTCTGTTCTGCGCGCGTAACAGAGACACCAAGTCGGCCGAGGGCGACTCGACGCTGTTGCACTACCTGGTCGACCTGGTCACCAACAAGTACCCCGAGGCCATCACCTTCGGTCGCGAGCTCAAGCACGTCCCGCCTGCCGCCCGCGGTACTCCACCACTTGCCCCCGCGTGTCGTGTCGTGTCGTGTCGTGTCGTGTCGTGTCGTGTCGTGTCGTGTCGTGTCGTGTCGTGTCGTGTCGTGTCGTGTCGTGTCGTGTCCGTTCGTGTCGCGTTCGTGTGTGTTGTCTGCGCTCACACGCGTGCGCGTGCCGGACACAGTGTCGCTGTCGACGGTGCAGTCGAACGTGGCGCAGCTGGGCCAGGGCTTCAAGCAGATCGAGCGCGAGATCCCGCTGAGCTCGGAGGACGCCAGCGACCCCTTCCGGGCCATGATGACCGAATTCTACGAAAAGAAGAAGGAGGAGTGCGACCACCTCGAAGCCGACACCAAGACCATGGAGGCACGCACAATTTTTATTTATTATTTTTATCTTAATTTATTAATTTATTTATTTTTGCTCCGAAATGCCTTTGTTTTATGTTATTTTTATTTTTTTTAACACGACACACGCCAATAGGAGGACTTCAAGCAGCTCGCGGATGCGTTCGGTGAGGGTGCCCAGTGCACGCCGGACCAGTTCTTCTCCACGGTGACTTCGTTCCTCGACGCCTTCGAGGTATGCAGCATGCCGCCTGCACTCCATGTCCTGTGTGTCGTGTGTCGTGTCTCACGTATGACCTTCCACTTGCGCAGCGCGCAGAGAAGGAGAACAAGCAGAAGGTGGAGAAGGCCAAGAAGGCCGCCGCCGCTGCCGCCAACCCCAACCCCGGTCCCGGTACAGCTCCATCTTCATCGCGACGCGACGAAGATCTTCGTCCCGCCTGCCGCCACTGCTTCTGACTCTTCGTTCTTTTTCCTCCTCTTCGTTCTTTGATGCTGACAGCGGCGCGCAAGCTACCGCCGGGCGCGAAGCCGATGCCGGGCGGACCCGCCGGCGCGCCGGCCCTGGGCGACGTGCTGGGTCAGATGCAGAAGGGCTCCTTCTTCCGCCTGCGGCGCGAGAGCAACGCGGCCCAGCCCCCGCGCATGCCCGGTGGTGCGGCAGGTCCTGGCGGCGAGGGCGCGGCCGGCGAGGTCGAGTCGGCCCGCGAGCGCATGGCCCGCAAGGTGGGCGGACCCGCCCCCGCGCCCGGCGGCGGACCCAAGGCCGGACCCGGCGGTGGAGGCAATTTTATGGCCGAGTGGAAGGCCAAGCGGGAGGCGGGTGGCGCTGCGGCCAAGCCGGAGGCCGAGGGCGACCAAGCCAAGACGGAGGGGGAGGAGAAGAAGGCTGCTGACGTGGCAGCCACGGAGGAGGAGGCCGGCAAGAAGGCCGAGGACACACCCACCGCCGCTGATGCTTCTCCCGCACAGTGAGTCCGCTGTTTTCATTTTCAACATCAACTGAACCACCTTTTGGTTGAAAATAAAATATAAATAAAATATAAATTAATACCGCTAACACGTTGTCCACTGGTGTTGCGCTCCATCCCGGGTAAACTAACTTGTCCTTAATGATCTTCATCTCCACCACTAGCGGGCGTGGAAGAAGTTCACGCGTAACCCGAGGCCCAATTGCCTCGTTCCCTTGACCCGGACTCTTGCGATTGGTCCGCATATTTAGTGCATACATCACGGTTCCACCGTCACCTCAGCATGGAAGCCTACTCGCAACATTTACAACATACAACGTCCCACCGCACACAACGCACACCATGGCCCAGCACCTCAACTTCATCATCGTCCTGCTCGCCCTGGTCGCCATCGCTGCCACGGCCGTCCAGGCCACGGGCGGGCTCTTCGGTGGCGACTACTGCGACGACTCGGCCTTCGACCCGAAGATGATTCGCGCCGCCGACTTTTACCGCCAGAAGGGCCTCTTCGCGTCGGCCTTCGCCCAGTTCCGGTCGTGGACCCGCGAGGCCAACCTGACCAGCGCCGCCGAGCTCCAGGCCGTGGCCGACCAGCTGGCGGGCCTGGCGGCCACCTACGCGGCCGAGTTCGACTCCGCCACGCAGGGGTTCACCATCACCCGGTCGTCGGGCATCATCATCATCGACACGGCCTCGGCGCCGACCATGGTCAACCCCAACCTCGAGAACCACAACACCCGCTACGAGTACGCCAAGGCCATCCAGTGCCGCGACCACGGCGCCCCCGGTCGTGTTTCGAGAAGTACGACCCGCACACCGCACACGCACCGCCGCACACAAGACACAACGCGACACCACACCGCACACAGCACACGGGGTTCGGCGACTGATGTTCGAAAAATGCAGGTACTTCATTCCGCGCCTACAGAAGACGCTGCACTTCTTCGCTAAGGCCATACAGACTGGGCTCGACGGGACCTGGTTTGTGTTCCGCATCAACTTCTTTGAAACCAACTAAAAGGCCTCTTCCGGCGTAAAAGTTTGAGAGAAAAAGAATGAAAACGACGAACAAAAAGAAGGAAAACGATGGACCGGACTTGGCGCTTTTTCGCTTTTCTTTCTTCCAAGCTCTGCTTCACCGCTATGTCCGTCGCACGAGCTGTCTTTGTGGTCTTCGTGGGCGTGGTGGCCACCTGCCTTGCGGCCCTGCCCTGCACAGCGCAACAGCCCATCGCCGTGCGCTATCCCCCCCCGCAAATCAATTATTATATTATTTTATTTTCCCAACGGGCCACACCTACCTAACACTTCTTCTATATATTGTTGCAAAAAAAGATATCCGAAAACTTTTCTTCACAGCTGAGCTTTATGGGACTCAAGGTACGACCACTCCGGCTGCGTGTTGTGTCCGCACGCGCACGCATTCGCCGCACACACACACTCACGTGCAAAATGGAGTGACATACGGACAACCGAACGCTATGGATGGATGGATGGATGGATGGGTGGGTGCAGCAAGAGTGGTACGTTGACTACGACGCTCAGCTGCGTGCCACCATCGATTCCGCCAGCGGCCTTCGCTCCGTCCAGATCAACGTACGCACCATTATTTGTTTATTTGTTTTATTTGTTTGTTTGTTTGTTTGTTTATTTGTTTTATTTGTTTGGTGCAGAGAACGCTGTACAACATCAACGTGGCAGCGCAGCACTGCATCGTCTCCCAGCTGAAGGACGGCATGCAGCCCATGGTGCACCACTGTGCACAATTCCTGCAACACGTTGATTAGTTGGTTGGTTGGTTGGCTGGGCTGACACTCACTGCCCATTCGTTGACGCGCGGCTGAACAGTGGGCGTGGCTCAAGACGGCCAACTACTCGGGGCGCTGCGGCTTCGGCGAGGGCAGACGCTACGACGTACGCCCACGTGGCGTGCCCACCATGACCCACCATGTCGGCCTCACTCACCACCGTTTCTTTGTCCCCCGTTCCAGGCCATCATCGACCGGAACACGCAGTACAGCTTGTGTGCGGCGCGTCCCAACGGCCAAACGGAGTACCTCCCGCTTCAGTTCCTCGTCCAGCAGGAATCCAGTGCGCCAATCCCACTGCGACTTTGTTGTCATTTGCATTTGCTCACATCATCGTGTGTCGTGTGTGTCGTGTGTGTCGTGCGGTGTGTCGTGTTGTGCGCAGGTCAGACGCAGTTCCTGTTCTACGACTACTTCCCGCTGGCGCCGGGTCGCGGCAACTTCACCGTCCCGGCGTACTGCCCCTCGCCCTCGCCCGCTCCTCGCGAAAGCCATCGCCAGAGTTGAACCAACGTTACATATTTGGTTGATTTATTTTATTTTTATTTTTATTTATAATACGAAAGTTGAAAAGTCAAAAATAGGTCGTGTGTCGTGCGTAGAAAGTCAAACGCTTTCTCTCTTTACAGCGTGCCCGGCGGCGATGGTGTGGCGTTGAAATGAAGGCAGCGATCTATGGCTCAGGCGGTCTCGACGAGCCTGGGCGAGTGGCCGTCGGCGATGGGCGTGACGACGTCGGACTCGGGCGCGCTGTCGGGCGCGGCCTTCCTCTCGTTGCCCGCCCGCTCCAGCAGAGCCGCCAGGTCCTTGTGCTGTTGTACAAAAAAAAACAAAAATAAAAAAAAAATTAGCAAACGACACACGACCGCACACGCAGGACCGCACACGACCGCACACGCCGCAGGACTGCACACGAACGAAAGAGGGAAGGTACCCCAGCGCGAACGGCCTCATCGAAGGGCGTGGCGCCCCACCTGTCCCTGACCAGCACGTTGGCGCCCTTGTTCACCAAATATTCGGCGACCTTGAGCCGGCCCTCGGCCGCGGCCAAGTGAAGCGCGGCGCGCCCGTCGTAGTCGGCCACGTTCACCGACGTGCCCGCCAGCACCAGCTCCCTGTTACGATGATGACGTCAGCTACTCTCTTTTAATAATAATAAAATGTATAAACAATGATAAAGGAAGAGAAATGAATGAATAAAATGAGGGGAAGGAGTGAGTACATGACGCGGGTGAGGTTGCCGTTGGCGGCCGCGAAGATGAATTCGCTGATGACGTTGATCTCCTTGTTCGTCGCCTGGCGCAGACGTGGGTTCTTCTTCTGCGATCCCTGTGTGCCGCACAAAGTTAAAACAATACAAATACAAATACAAATACAAATACAAATACAAATACAAATACAAATACAAATACAAATACAAATACAAATACAAATACAAATACAAATAAATACAAATAAAAATACAAATACAAATACAAATACAAAACAATACCAACAGAAATGAATCCAAAACAGAAACAAAAAACAAAAAACAAAAGAAATAAAATATATTGCACTCGTGCAGCAGGAGAAGAAGCCGAACCTCGGAGCAGGAGATGACATCGTCAAACACGTGGAAGGCGTAGCGCGAGGTGAGCTGCTTACAGAACTCGACAGCGCGGACCGAGTTACCCTGGTCGTCGATGCGGGGCGACCAGATGCACATGCCCTGCACACACCGAAACACGACACACGACACACGCTCTTAGTCGCCGTGGCCTGGGTTTGGTGCGTGGAACCGCCGTGGAGGCGTAAGGTACCAGCAGGTTGGGCACCACCACCATGACGCAGCCGGACACGCCCGACTTGGCGGGCAGGCCCACGCTGTAGGCGAACTCTGTAATGCAGGCGGGGGGGGGGTGTTTAGGTCCGATGGTCTCTTGAGAGCGTCGGCAAAGAGCGAACGCGGAGCGGGGCTGTGTGTTTACCTCCGGAGTAGTCGTACATGCCGCAGCTGAACATGATCGACAGGCAGTTGCGCACGCACGCCGCCGGGAAGATTTTCCTGTGGTGTGCGTGTGTGTCGTGTGTGTCGTGTGTGTCGTGTGTGTCGTGTGTTGTTGCCGTCAGCTTGCTGAAGAAGGAGTAAAGGCGGAGTGGTCAGAACGTACTCTTTGGTGATGGGGTTGGTGCCGCCGTTGGCGAGAGCCGAGGCTACGGAGGCCATGTCGCGTGTGGTGCCGGTCATCGAGCACAGCTGCAGGTAGAACTCCAGGTGGGCGCGCACCCTCTCGTCGCTGTTGACCGACTTGTCGAACACGCCCTCGCCCTACGCACGCAACACCCACACGTCAGCACCCCAAGCATGCATGGAATGTGAATGGAATGCGCGCATATACCTTCATGAAGTAGGAGAGGGCAAAGTTGCGGTCGGCGTGACGCAGTTCGGACAGGTAAGTGGCGTTGTCGAAGCCGATGGTCGTGGGCTGGCCGTCGCCGCGGTCCGACAGCCGCTGCCACACCGTCTGCACGTAGCCGAACCTCTGTTGATTTGAGCCGAGCCGCGCGTCAGTACGTTGCGGGTCGAAAACAACACGGGCGGTGCGACGTACGTCGGCGGGCTCGTAGTCGGGCTTGAGGAGCGAGGCGGTGACGATGGCCCCGGCGTTGATCATAGGGTTGAAGGGCTTCTTCTCGGCCGGGTTCCGCTCGTCGAGCTCGAAGGCGTTGAACTTGCGGCCGCTGGGCTCGTGACCTACGTGGCGCATCATCTTCTCCTCGCCTCTGTCGCCCTCAGCAATACAATAACTGTGCGGTGTGTGCGGTGTGTGCGGTGTGTGCGGTGTGTGCGGTGTGTGCGGTGTGCGCGGTGTGCGCGGTGAGCCAGGTGACATTGGGCTGGTGGGTGGTACAGAAGTGGCTGACGTACGTGATGGGCTTGGAGCACGACTGGAGGGTGAAGGGAACGTCGGCATCGCCGTGAGTCCAGATCTGTCCGTCCACAGTCTGCACCGCGATGCCAAACTGGTTCGAGTTCACGCGCGCCAACTGTTCGCACACACGCCACAGAGATCAGCATTAAATTTGCCCTCCGTCGTCACCATACCACCATCGGAATGTGGTACATACCTGAGGAATGTACTGTGCGTTTTGGCCGGTCTCCAGCGCTTCGCAGTGTTCATAGATCTCCTTGAGCTGGTGCGACACACACACACACACAAGAAGACGAGACAAGGTCAGCCATTGCGCGGTATGGTGAACGGGAGATGGCAGGTGGTACGTTGTTGATGAAGTCGGCCCAGTCGGGGATGGCCACACGCCCGGTGAGAGCGCGCTCGATGATGTCGGTCTTCATCTCCTTGAGGCGCAGGAAGTCGGCGGCAAAGATCTTGTCGTCCTTGTCCTGGTCGAGCGTGTCGACGGCCTTCTTGACGATGCCCTTGCCCAGGCCCTCGTCCACGAGCACCTGCCCACCAAAAAAATTTTTTTAATTAAATAATATTGGTAAAATAAAAAGGAAATAAAATATAAATAAATAAATAAAATGAAAGCGAAGAGAAGCGAAAAAGAAAGCGAGAGGGGAGGTACCTTCTTGAGAAGGTTGGTGGTGATGAAGCCCTGGTTGCTCTTGTCCAAGGAGTCGAAGATGCTCTTCAGCTCCTCATCTTTCTGCAGATGGCCACAAAGCGAACGCGAAGCGGTAAGTACCCTCCGGAAATCGCCACACCCAATGATAAGCGAGCTTATTCTTTGATCGCCGCACCACTCTAAACCTTTCTTTACGCTCGGGGCAATGCGAGTAGTTGCTGCCGAAATAGATGTTCATCACATCCATTCACCGCCTCAAAAATAGTATCGCATCAATTTCAATATTGGGCAATATTGGCCTTTCCGTGATAAAAGAGCAAAAGAAATAAAATAAACGCTCAATCTCGAAGGCTCCAGATTAATGGGAATCTGTACGAGACGATTGGCGAGCTTTGCATCTCGGAAGGTCGAGTAGGTCCTCGTCAGCTTGGCGTTCTTCTTCATGTCTTTGAGATTTTGCGCGCGTAGTGGTGAGTGCTTTGCAAAGGACCCCTTGGCCGAAAGCGTGTAGACGAGAGTGTTTGTTTGAAACAAAAGAATGAAGAACGGCCACACACGCGCTCCTCTAAATGCTTCTTGAACCGTGCTATCGACCACCGCCACTACTCAGCGACTGGAGATGATCGATGTTCCCAAAAGGTGGAACAGTCCATGTTCGCGCAACAGGCACCATGTCGACAAATAAATTTCTTTTTGTTTTTTATCGCGGAATTCCACTTTGAGGCCTGAAAAAAAGAACGAAGACGAAGACGAAGACGGATGTGGGGGAGGGAAGGTACCAGACGAACGATGGGCAGGTCTTCGGGGTATTCGATCTTCTTCTTCAACATCGCCATCAGGTTTCTGAGCACACAGAGGGTACCTAAGCTTGAGAGGTTGGCCCCGGCAGTGGTGGGGAGGGTGTGCGAGGTACCTTCCGTGTGTGTTTGACGAAGCTTGATGCAGAGTTGTCGATTCTGTTGATATGGTAAGAGGCAAGTACTTGTGCCTCTATCACTCCTACGCAACCCAGCAATCACCAGACAAGGCGCATGTTCCCGAACAGGCACCTTCCCAAGAATGCAGCAAAAAATTGTTGGAATCTTTGGGATTTGTGGAATGTGCGCATTCCAGTCGAAACCGCTGAATTATTTCAAGTGAAAAAGCCACAAGCGGCGATTGCCACGCACTGACCGAGGTGAGGCGTGGCAGCCGTTGTTTTTTAACTAAAGATCAAAGTGTGAGCAAAGAGATGGAGCTGCAGAAGATTGTTGTGTGTGGAGTGCCTGAACACTTCAACCTGCCCTGGCACTTGGCTATCGAGAATGGCCTCTTTGCCAAGCATGGCGTACTGGTACTGGCCAACACACATCTAAACAAAACTGACAGCCACAGAAGCGAATCTGTGACCAAATACTTCGATCATTGATTTATCGTTTATTTTTTTAATAACTTCATTATCAATAAATGACCGGCGCTGCAGGTCGAGTTCGTGGAGCAGAAGCTGGGGACTGGGGCCATGATCACCTCGGCCAAGAGCGGCGAGGTGGACGTCATCCTCGCCCTCACTGAGGGTCTTGTAGCCGGTACCGGCCCCCTTCCTCTTCTTCGCTCTTCGCTTTCGCTTTCGCTTCGTTCTTCTGCTTTCGCCCAGTGACGCCACTGTTGGCTTCTCGCGTGCCACGTGCGGTGGTGGTGTCCGCAGACATCGCGAACGGGTCCGACCTGCGGCTGTTCGGGACCTACGTGCAGTCGCCCCTGTGCTGGGCCATCTCGACGGGCCAGGCCTCTGCCTTCAACGCGGTGGAGGACCTCAAGGGCCAGGTGCGCAACAACACCACCACCCCGTGAGCCAAAAAGCCAGTGGCGGCCGCTGCTCTCTAACCCGTTTACGTGCCTTGGGTGACACGACACGCGACACGCACACGACACGACACGCACAGACTTTCGGCATCAGCAGGAACGGAAGCGGGTCACAGCTGATGGTGTACGTCTTGGCGATGGAGCGTGGTTGGCACCCGCAGCGTGACGTCAACTTTGCCATCAAGGGCGACTTTAAGAGTACCGCACGTTCTTGTTTTTTGGCGTTCAATGTGTCGTGCGTGCGTGCGTGCGTGCGTGCGTGCGTGCGTGCGTGCGTTCACGTGTGCCGTGTGTGCAGGCCTGCGCGATGGCGTGAATGATAATTCGACCGCCGCGTTCCTGTGGGAGACCTTCACCACGAAGCCGTTCCACGACTCTGGGGTACCCTTCTCCCACAGCTCTTCGCCCGCAGACGACTCAGCTGCCTAAGCTGATGACTGACTCCCTCCCGCGTGCAGGAGATCCGCCGCATCGGCGACATCACATCCCCCTGGCCGTGCTTCATGATGGCCGGCCGCAAGGTAATTAATTCCCTCCCCACTCTCTTTATTGTTTTATATTATTATATCATTTAAATATTTAATTATTTATTTATTTATAATTGAAATGATTGTTTGTGATCACAGGACATTCTCGACCGCAAGAAGGACGCCATACAGAAGATGCTGGCGGCCATTCGCGAATCGTGCCGCCTGTTCCACAGCGATCAGGTCGGTCTATCACTCCGTCCCATCTGTTGTTCCTGCGTCGGGCTCTGTTGTCGCCATTGCTCACATTCGTGTGCTGATCCCAGGGCATCGTGGAGCTGATCGCCAAGCGCTACGACCTGAAGGTGGAAGACGCGCAACAGTACGCCCGAGCATTGACTGTCTCCTCGGGTTGCCTGAGTCACTCACTCGTTTCTTTTTCTGTTGCGCTCGCCCCAGGTGGTACTCGAACGTGCAGATCGTCGGTTCGACCAACATCTCCGAGGTTTGACAAACCATCTCAGAATTAGAATTACAATCAGAATCCAATTAAATTGAGCTTGCTTCAATATTCAAATTGTAATTCCTCACATTATTCACACCTCATCACAGAGTGCGATTAAGAAGGCGGTGGAGGTGCTGTACCGCGCTCGCGTGCTCTCGTCTGTGGACCACCCGGCTCAGAAGTTCATTTACGAGGGCATCGCCTCTCTGCGCAAGGACATCAAGCTCGTCCGGCTGTACGTTCTTGTCTGCGCCTTCATCATCAGATCTTGTCCCCTTAAACGTTTCAATATGTTTTGACGATCCATTCATTCATTCATTCAGATACAACAAGCCCGAGCTGCTGCGCGCACTCTTCAACAACCTGCACGCCGCCAACCTCGCCTCGGGTCCCATCTCCTACGAGGACCTCCTGCCCTACGATCAGGTACCACCAGCTCCCCACATTTTATATGATGACCTACATCATTCTTCGGATTCTTAATCGAATATGCGTGATAACATGATTCCGCAGCACCACTACCACGAGGTCGAGGGGCTCGAGGTGTGCATCAAGGAGGCGCACCTGGGCACGGACTCGCGCATCCTCAATGTTGGCTCGGGCCTCGGCGGTCCGGCGAGGTACTTCGGCGGAAAGCTGGGCGCCTCGGTGCTGGCCGTGGAGCTGCAGGATGACCTCCACAGGACAGCGGCAGAGCTGACGGCCCGGTGCGGCCTCAACGACAATGTCCACCACCTTGTACGCCACACGCACGACACACACACCACACACACACGTACGACACACGACACACACGAACACACACCACACACGACACACACACACACACACACACACATACCACACACACACGGGACGGCTTGGACCTGACACGACCGATGCAGGCGGGAGACATTCTGCAAGTGGGTCAGCACCTGCGACCGGACAGCTACGACGCCATCGTCTCATGGCTGACCGTTCTGCACATCCCCGAGCGCGCCCAGCTCTTCAAGACCGTACTCTTTCTCGCCCGGACTCTTCATTGGGCCTGAAACTGAAACTGAAATTTTCTGAGTCTGTCCAAATTTCTAACGGAACGTTAATCAGTGCTACTCCCTGCTCAAGCCGGGCGGCGTGTTCTATGCGGAGGACTTCTTCGAGAAGGCCACCCTTACGGAGGAAGAGAAGTACTTCACATTCCCTCATTAATCGCGTGGAGTGCAGATGATGGACCCCTGTGCTGACCTCCGCACGCTCTCTCATCCACAGGCGGCGTCTGGCTGATGACGTGTACTGTCCCTACCTGCCCAACGAGGAGACCTACAAGCGCGACCTCGTCCAGGCCGGATTCGAGATCGTCACGGTACGCTGCCGCGCCGGCGTTTCTTTGAGAGTCGATCTTGAAACTCACGCTCCCGGTCACACAGTTCGAGGATCTCACGGAGGACTGGCGCCAGTACACCACCCAGCGCGTGGCCAAGTGGGACGCCGATCACGACCGGCTGGTCCAAGTGCACAGGGAGGACACCTTCAACCGGCTCCGCTACTTCTACAACATCGTCAGGGAGCTCTACGCAGGTACGTCCACGCACACACATACTATCCGCACGCTTTGCTTTTATGTCCGAGGCGGTTGAGCAGTTGGCGCGGTCAGACGTGGGACACTGTGTGACTCCATGTGGTGGCTGAAGACCGTGCTCGACTTACCTCATCGGTGGTGTCTTCGCGCCTACCCCTCACACAGGAGGGCACTTGGGCGGGGCTCGCATCCTTGCACGTAAGCCCATCTCCGCGTGAGTTCTTGACGGACCATGACCGCAGACGATCGCCACCTACGTCCACCGGCCGACCTGAGGAGAGGTGATTCCTTGCGCTGCCCCCGTTGGCCACTTTTTCGGAGTGTGTGCCCAACATGCCAAGCAACCCGGGTTTTGGAGAGATACAACAACAAACACAACAATTTGAGATATCCCCGATCTAAAATACCAACTCTTCTTTTGAATTCCAGTCCGGAGGACCACTTCTGAAGACCCTCACCTCCCATCAGTGCCGGCCACCGCGACTTTGACTTGTGGGCGAAACTTGCTTGGCGCCTTCATGGTGTTGGTGTGCTTGGAACTATACCCATCGTCCAGCTCTGGGCAGTACTGCCCGGTTCAGCCCAGCCGCGGTGGTGCAGCTCCGCGGGATTGCCTGTCGTTGTTTCCGGTGCAAGGCACCACCGACGTGTGCAACGGAACCGGGCTAAAGCCACAAAAGAGAGAAGGGGAGAAGAGACGGACAAGTTACGTGTTGGAGAGCAAGAGTGGCAGTTGTTGCAACACAAGAGAAGGAGAAGAAGACCTTTCGAGAGTGGAGGTCGCGACGCCATACCCACTGCCTGCTCGCTTTCATCTTCTTCGTTCTTTGGTCATCAATGGTCGTAACTCCATAATAATCGCATCTTCGCTTCATCACAACCGACCGTTTTGAATTATCGACAAAATGCAATGGGAGGACGATGCCATCAACGGCGATAACATCACAATAGAGGACGGCTGGTCTGAATTCCCCTCATCAACAACGGCTATGGATGACGATGGGAGTTTCTTTTCATTTTCGCCTCAGCCCTCTCCCTCTACTTCCTCTTCATCGCTCTTTGGATTCCAATCCACCTCTACCCCCACTACGCAACAGCCCTACCCGATCCCCCCAGCGTCTCCTTCTCCCTTCTCAGCCCCATCTCCTTCCACGTCATCACCGACTTCATCTTCGACCTACCTCGCAGGTCCAACCCCTCGCCTCGGCCACCAACGAAGCTCGAGCCCATCAGTCAGATGGCCCGGCAGCGCCGCAGCACAATCGCCATCTTCGGCACCACCCGGCAGAGCAGCAATGATGGGAGGCGAGATGATGGAGCAGGAGGAGTATTGGAGAGATAGAACGAGCCAGGAGACGCAGATGATGGCTTCGGGCCTCCTGCCCAGGGATCACCCTCTCTTCGCTGAGATGCGGCAGCTCGTGGCACGGGATCGCGAGATGGGCCTATCGTCCACAGACGCTACGTTGGCCGAGGCCATGCTGCGCCACTACGGCGAGGAGCTCGACGTGCTGCCCTCCCTCTTCGACCTCGGCGCCCAGAACCCCATGGCGCAGCAGATCGAGAAGCTCAAGCGACTCAAGGGGGAGCAAGAGCAACAGGGCGCCGCCAAGCCTCTACCAGCCGGCAGCTCATCTCCATCCTCATCATCGTCATCTTCATCTTCTGGCGGCTCGCGACTCGACGTCGTGCTCGAAGATCTCCTCGGCGAACTCACGCGACAGCAGGCCAAGGCCGACTCATCGCCCTCTTCCTCGCTCGCCTCATCTTCATCTTCATCGCAAGCCATCACCCCATCTCCCGGCAACAGCAGCCCGCAGCCCCTCCGGCCCATCTACCCGCCGCTCAAGGACCTGAGCCGCTCGCCGGCCACCGTCGTCGCCGGGGGACAAAGGCAGCAGCCGCACAACCACCAGCTCAACCTCTACAGCGGACAGAGGTGGGCCAGCGACGACGTGCTCGGCGGCAAGCTCGACTACACCCCGCGTAGCACAGCTCCTCAGACCCAGCAAGAGGTCACCCTCATCGGTACACGTCCGTCTCTCTTTAATTAATTATCTCTTTAAATATTTTGATATTTATTTCCACTAAATACTAAATAGGTAATAAGCGATTTTCGAATAATTAGGTAATAAGAGATAACAATACCTTTTAAAGGGAAAATGACCGTAAATTGGTAGAAAAATGAAGCCAACCACAAACCACCCAGCTAGTGGAGGGAAATAACATGTTCCTCTTACACTACCGACACACAGATGACGAAGACAGCAGAGGAGCCAGCAGCCATTCGCGAATGCAACCGACGCAGCAGCAGCCGAGGCAGCCGCACCAGCTCCGACGGTCTTCGGCTGGATCGTCACCCTCGTCGGCCATGTCTCCCGCCACGTCGTCGGTGTCGTCGCCGCTGCTGCAGACGCCGGCGGCCGCACCGGGATCGGGATCGGGATCGTGGACGACCATGTCCGCGGCCGGCGGCGGGTTCGGCTTCCCCACCTCGCCCGTGGCGGTCCGCGCGCCCCGAATCGGATCGCCGTCGGTAGCCGCCGCCACGTCGACCCTCATGTCGACATCTTCGTCGCCCGTGCACTCCTCGCCCACCGGCGCCGGCATGTCGCCCATGTCGTCGCCTCTCGCCCAGCACCACGCGCCCGCCGGCGCCGTCACGACGTCGCCCACGTCCGCGCATTCGCCGGTGCCGTCGGCTCTGTCTCCTCCCTCTTCGTCGTCGTCGGCAGTGCCCATGGTCGGTGACGCTTCGTCTCCCTCGGCGTCGTCGGAGAACGGAGGCTCGTTGTCGCCATCGCTGTCGTCGTCAGGTTCGACGTCGACCTCATCGCACAGCAAGGCGCTGCCCGAGGAGCTGGTGGAGCTCATCACCGCGCCGACGGTGGCCAGCATCGGAGCCGGCCTGCAGTTCATCAAGAAGCACAACTACCAGCACCACCACCACCCGCACCACTACCACCACCATCACCACCACCAGGGGCACCTCCACCCCAACCGAGCCCTCCACAAATCGCTGCCCGAAAAGAAAGCTGCAAAGAACAAAGGTACCCACCAGCCGTGTGTGCGTGTCGTGTGTGTTTCAAGTGTCGTGTGTGTGTGTGTGTGTGTGTCGTGTGTGTGTGTGTGTGTGTCGAGTGTGTGTCGAGTGTGTTGTGTGTCGTGTACTGACAGCGATGCGGTGCAGGCGTGGTTTCGATTGGGTGGGTGCACCGAGAGCGCGAGAACAAGGAGGAAGAGGGATCCGAGGACAGGCCCCGGATTCCGCTGCGGCGCGCGCGACACAAGTCCACGCCCTCGGGTCTCGCCAAGAGCGCCGAGACCAGCCACCTCTCCGCGATGGCGCTCGGGGTGCAGTACATGCAGGTGATCACGGCTTCTTCTTCTTCTGCTCTTGATCTGGCCCCACTCCCCACGACCTTGAGTTGCTCACACCATTCGCAGTTGTATCGGAATCACATGTACATCTTCGATCCGCTCCATCCCGTCGTCCTGGATGAGAACAAGATCAGGTGCGTGTGCGGTGGTGTGTGGTGCGTGTGCGGTGGTGCGTGTGCGTGTGTCCAATCAGAAGTGCTCACATGAGGTCTTGCTTACCAGGTTCTACCTGTGCACCACCGAGGGCGTCGAAGAGAGGAGCACCTTTGCCTTCTCTATGAACGTCATGTTTTGTATAGGTACGCTCCCTTCACATTTACACCTCAACACAACTTTTTAAAAAAATATATTGTATGTTTATATAATTAAATACGCGTTGTTTCGTTGGTTGTGTTGTCTCACAAAACATTTGGTCGTCATTTCGGCCGAAAAAACAAAAGGTTCGATGCTGTTTGGCGACCACAAATCCTCCGTCGAGTTCCGGATGAGAGCCGAAGACCTGCTCAACTACCTGTGCCAAGTGCCCAGCACGGCCAACGACTACTCGTTCGCCACCGGCCTCACCGCGCTCTCCTTCAACACTCTCTACTGGTACCGCCGCTTGCGTGTTGTGTGTGCGTGTGTGTCGTGTGTGTCGTGTGTGTGTGTGTCTGATCGTTACGTGCTGCATCTTCACAGGGAAATGAACAACGCCAAGTCGGCTGACTATCTGCGGATGGCGATCAACACGTGCAAGCGCCTGCAGGCCCTCAATTCCGATGCGTACAGCCGATGTCTCTACGCGCTGTCGTTTCACCCCTTCACCGAGCTCGCCGACATCCAAAACCTGAAGAAGTGCGTGACTCGCCACACTGTCGTGTGTCGTGTCGTGTGTCGTGTCGTGTGTGTCGTGTGCGTTTATATGTATATAACACATGATTACTAATCAATACACCAGGGAGCTCGAGATTGCGAAGAAGCTGCCCTATGTCCCGGTGACCACCACGAACACCCCTTGTACACCGCAGGACGTACAGAACTGGCAGAGGTTGGTGCCCGTATCGGTCGAGAACCTCCACATCGCCAACGCAGGTAACGCCACAGCCCTTTGTTTTTTATTCATTTTAATTTGTATTTGACTGACCCCTCCACTCGAGGCCGCTCTCTCTAACTCTGTTTCGTTTCGTTTCGTTTTCGAAACAGCTCTCGGAGTGATCTCGAATCTGATCAGCGGGTTGATCCTCTATAAGGCAAACGCAAGCCGATTCGCGCCCAAGGTAAAGCGCTCAAGCTTACGCACGCACGCACGCACACGCATCGCGACGCACGCACTGATCGACTTTCATTTGTTCGTCCAGGCGAACCAGTCGACTCTGCTCCACTTCTTGGAAGCGATCACAGCTCTCGAGGCCGAGATCGACCTCATCCAGTCCAACGCTCCCGACACCTTCCCCAAGCCCACCAGCAAATTCATCAAATTTTACATCTTCTGTACGCCTCGTCCCCGGTGTGCCGTGTGTGGTGTGCGGTGTATGCGGTGTGTGCGGTGTGTGCGGTGTGTGCTATGGCAAGGTTTGACCGACTGCGTTTTGTTTGTGTGCGTGCGTGCAGCGCTAAGAGCTGAATGTCACTGGATGCTGGAGGACAAGGAAACGGCGCTCAAGTGGGCCGAAGCCTTCTTGGCTGAGGTACTGCGCACCAGAGCCCACACGCATGCATCAGCTGCCGATTGAATAACGTTATTATTTATTTATTTATTTATTGATTTGTTATTTGTTATTATTTATTTGTTATTTATTTGTTATTTTACGATTTCTTTCCTTGGACGTGCAATAGTCGATCAAGCCCGACAGCAAGTACGCGGTGGCGGGCGTCTCCCAGTTGATCGGCATCGTGCTCAACATCTTCCTGCGCATGGAGAAATACGACCTCCTCAACATGCAGCTCCAGGGTCTCGAGGTACATTTTCATATATATATATAATAACCCTAGCTATAAATTTAGAAAAAAGATATACGCAATATATTTTTATATTTCATATATGTCTATATATTTATATTTAATGTGACTAAAATTTTTTCCCTTTACATTTTTAGGAGTGGGCGAAGCTGATCCCGATCGTGCGGACGATTCAGTTCAACTACCTCAAGGAGCTGGAGCAGATCCTGCGCCGGACCGACGCGTCGGCGTCGGCGTCGGCGTCGACCAACGGCGGCGGCAGCGGCAACGGCAGCCCCGTCGCCGGCTCCACGGCGGACAGCGGCAGCCAGAGCTCGACCTCCAACGGCAGCTGCCACGCCAACGGCAACGCGAGCGCCATCTTCACCATCACCGAGAACGAGATCGAGATGCTCAAGGAGAACGACGCCCAACAACAACATCAACATCAACACAACAACTGCGACACCATCATCATCATCATCAACCACCACCACCACAATCACAATCGTCAACCTCATCGCAATTCCAGCAGCCGATGGCGCGTCATCACCAACAGCAGCAGCCGCCGCCGCAAGGCTATCGGCCACCACCACAACAGCAGCAGCACCAACATCAGCCACCGCACGAACAGGAGGCGCTCCACTACCACCAGCAGCAGCCGCAGCAGCAGCAGCAGCCGCCGGCGAAGCGACAGGCGAAGCAGCCCCAGCAGTCGATATCGGCGCCAACGCTGGGCGTCCAGGCCGGCCGCCAGCGATTCATGACCGTCCCGCCCGCCAACAGCACCACCAGCACCACCAACGGCGGCTACGGCGCCGTCGCTGCAGGCGAACACCGACAGTCGCCCCCGACCACCTACACCCTAGCCTCGATACAACCACCACCGCAACAACAACACCAGCAGCAGCCCACCTACCATCGGCCGCAGCTACAACCGCAGCCCCAGCAGCCCCAGCAGCAGCAGCAGCAGCGCGGGTATCGCCAGTCGCCGCTGCGCCGCGCCAACTTTGGTATGTCGTCGAGCGCCGGGAGCGGTAGCACGGGCGGCGGCAGCGCGGAGGACCTCGGCCGATCGCTGGAGAGCGCCGACTTCGACCTGTTCGCGGAGGTGGCGCGCGAGATGGAGGGCTTCCGGATGAACAATGGCGAGCAGGAGGTCGTGGTGCCCTCGGTCGTGGTCAACCAACAGCTGCACAGCTCGGGCGGCGCGTCGTCGATGGGCGTCTACGACTGGGCGGCGGCCATCAGCAACAACAACGACAGCAGCAGCGGCGGCGGCAACGCGCAAGGCATCGACCCGACGATGGTCAACCCGCGGTGGCTCTGAGGCCTGCCCTCTCTTGGCTGGCACAGCTGTGTTTTAAACTTATTTATTGTGTTTCGGAATTTTGAACAAAGACTTGCGCCACACGTCACATTGACCAAATTATGAATTATATATCGGTTAATTATATTTTATAAGTTATATATTAGATAGATAACACTGTGTATTGTGTTTTAAAAATATAAAAAAAGTGACTTGACCACAAAATTGTGAAACGCCAGGCCTGAGGCTTCAGTTGGTGGAGGAGAGGAAGTCGCGTTCGACCTTCTGCAGCGTCTCGATGCAGGCCCACCCGATTGCGGCGGCGGGCACCACCTTGAGGTAGCAGGGAATGAGCCCGCGGTAGAACCCGGCCACGCCCTCCTCCCGCCCGATCTTGACGCACGCGTCCCACAAGCCATTGTACATATTCGAAGCACCGCCGATACCTACATGCGTGTGCGTGTGTGCGTGTGCGGCGATTAGGCACACAACACGCAACACGACACGCATGGTACCACGACACACACGACACACACTGCGTACCTTGCATCATCATTCGTCGCCGGAGGACGTCGCTCGGGTAGGTGAGGGTGACGGCGGCGGTGCCCGACAGGCCGCCCATGACGAGCCCCTCGAGCGCGTGGGTCTCGCTGCCGTCCGTCTTCACCAGCTGCTTGAGCGTCTCGTACGACGCAAAATTGATCGCCACATACGGCGCCACGCCCTGTGTCGCGTGTCGCGTGTGTGTCATGCGCGCGGTGAGTGTCGTGTCACGCTGTGTGCGTGTGTCGTGTGTCGTGTTGCATAATGACACACGCACCAGGATCGAGACGCCCATGCCCTTGTAGAGGGCGAAGAAGCCCTCCTCGCGGAAGATGGAGCCAAGGCAGTGCCACATGCCCCGGTAGCGCGCGGCGTAGATGGCCCCGCGTCCGGGCAGGGTCTGCACGCTGAGCCGCGTGCGCACCAGGTCGAGCGGGTAGGTGGCGATGGTCGACACCATGCCCGCCAGCCCGCCCGCCATGATCCGGATCATCGGCGTGATCGGCTCGCCCGGTGTCGATATCAACTGCGCGTGTGCCGTGCGTGCGGCGTGCGTGTGCCATGCGTGCGGCGTACGGTGCGTGCGGTTAGTGATGACGACGATGACGATGATGACGGTGTTTACCTTTTTGAAGGTGTCGTAGGAGTAGAAGCGGGCGGCGTCGGAAGGCATGATCCGGATCACGTTCGTCCCGTTGCCCTTCCAGTACGCCCTGGCGCCCACGACGAGTCAGGGCTGCGGCACGCGACACACGCGACACGACACGGCACGGCACGGCACGGCACGGCACACACGACACGACACGCGCGACACGACACGGCACGACACGCGCAACGCGATTGTATGGCGGGGGCCGAAGTACCGAAAGCCCTCCTCGGCCCAAATCTTTCGGAGGGCCGGCAGCACGCCCTGGTACCGCGGCCCCGACTTGTCCATGTGCTGCACCTGCACACGACATGCGACCACTTCTCGTTATTTATTATTGTTATTGTTATTGTTATTATTTCCTCATTCCAGTGTAATTATTTATTCATTTATTTTCTGTTTGATTTAGGTCCAAAAATAAAAGTATTATTATTATTACAGATTTTAACAAAAATAAAGAATGAAAAGAAAGAAAAGAATGAATTGAATTGAAATGCAAAACGAACCTGGTTGAGGACTTTGAGTCGCTCGAGGGGCGCGGTGGCCGTGCGAGAGATGCCGCCGGAGATGGCACCGTAGATGAGCCACTTTTGGTTGCCCACCACATCAACCACCGCCCGGAGCAGCGACGGCGACGCCGACCCGCCAGCAGCCGCTGCCGCTGCCGCTGCCGTTGTCGTCGTAGTCGTGGCCGACGTCGAAGAAGACGAGGAGGACGAACTCGCCATGTGGGCCCAAAAGGAAGAACAGACTGCAACGACTACCAGGCCACTTTCGTATTGCCACGTCAGCCTCCCCCGCCACCTTAAATTCGAGTATTGGTTGTGTTTCTCGAACACGACTCACGACACACAACACGACACTCGCACGACACGACCAACGACCAATGACACGACGAACGAAACGACACGACACACAGCGCATGAAACATGGCCGTGGGTGTGCGTTCGCGGAAGTGTGCTTGGGAAAGTGCGTCTTCGAGTTCGTGGTCGCGGCTCGGGGGCGAAACGACAAAAACCAGGCAACAGTTCAAAAGAGGCCGCGTAGTAGATCGATTGACGCGCAAAGGAGCGAGAGAAGAAGATGAGCAAGGACAAGGGGGCTTACCACAAACTCGATTCGATGGAGATGGACAAGAACACGTCGCCCTCGGCGCCGTACATCAACGCCTGGGATGTTGTCGAAGATGACGGTCGTGACGATTCGAGGCTGCTCATCTCGAAATCGGACAAGAAGGGGGTGGCCACGTCATCTTCGGCGTCGGGGTTGAGGGAGGGCGCCGAGTGCCGCTTCTGCCACGAGGGCGAGGGCGTGGGCGGCCACGACCTGGCACCGGACCACCTCATCGGCCCGTGCCAATGCCGAGGCAGCGTGATGTGGGTCCATCGCGGCTGCCTCGATCGATGGCGCGCCGTGAGCACCAACAGCACCTCCTTCTCTCGCTGCGACCTCTGCCATGCCGGTACATTTCTGATTTATCTTTCTATTAATTATATTTTCGTATATTTAAAATATACGAAATTATTTGCCTTTCAACATAATTCATGAATTTTTGTTATTATTGTTTTTTAATTTTTCATGGCAGACTACCAGATGGACTACCGGGCCGAGGGCGCCAGCGTCTGCGAGGGTCTCAAGGTGGCGTCGTGGATCACGCTCGACTTCACCCTCTTCATCCTGGCCGTCAACGCCGCCGCCGCTCTCTGCAGCCTGCTCGTGTGGGCCGTCGACCGCGACCGACAACGGGACCGCGTACGCCGCCCGCCCTCACCGCATTAACGTTTTAAGGTGCTTGCTGACGTGTCTCTGCGTCTATGTCGTGTCGTGCGTCGTGTCGTGTTGTGTTGCGTGTGTCGTGTCGTGAATGAATGCAGATCTTTAGCGAGGCCATGCATGTGAGCGTGCCGCCGGCGCTGGTGGTGGACTGGCTCTTCGGGTGGCTCGCGTTCTTCTTCGTGCTGGGCGTGCTGGGTCTGTGCTACGCCATCGGCCGCTGGTGCTGCGGGGTCTCATGCGACGCCGGCACCTGCTGCTACGGCCCCTCCTACTCGCCCTACTACGGTAGGCATCCCGCCCCAAACCACCACCACCGATGGCCCCGCGGGGTGTCATTGCTTCTTGCTGACCGTGTTGGTGGGCGACGCCATTGGCAGGCCACGGCGATTGCTACTTCTACTGGTGCTTCGTTCCCGACTTTAGCTGCCATAGCACTGTACGCACACACGACACACGACACACACGACACACGACACACCGCATGGAGACTTGTGAGCTGACAACGGCTGTGAATGAATGAATGGATGACAGGCGCACCACCACTCGTCGGATTGCGGCTCGTGCGGGAGCTGCGGGGGCTGTGGCAATTGCAACATGGACTGCAAGGGCGACGGTGAGGCCCTGCTCATCATCCTGGCCGTGGTGGTCATCCTCCTCATCCTCCTCGGCTTCTTCATCGGTACACCACCCGCACCGGGCCCGGTGTCGCATTCTCTCGCAATCGCACCACCACCACAACTCACACGAACGCGTTTCGAACCACGCGCACACACTGTGACACTGTCAGGCATTGGACTTGCGATCATGGTGGGCGTCAAGATGGTCAAGCGCCGCATGGACGTCATTCACAACAAGTACTCGAGTACCTCAACTCGCTCATCGTTTCATGAGTCTCTTACCTCTCTTTCTGTTTTTCTCCACCACCACCACCACCACCACCACAACAGATATAAGGCTGGCCAGTGGGTTGTGCTGGACCTCACTGCTTCGCCCTAGAACTGACTGCTAGCCTCACTACTTTTGCCTCCATCTTCACGCCTTGTACAGTAAGCAATCAATATTTTGGGCTTAGACGGTGCGCTTGTTGTAACCGCCCTTGCTGGCCGGCAGATAGGCCCGCCGCTCGTGCAGCTCGCGCTCCATCCACCACGACCCACCGAGCGGCAGCGTGTTCTTGACCTCCTCCAGGTAGGCCTCGGCCGCCGCCAGCCGCTGCTTGGCCTCCTCCAGCGCCGCCTCGGCCGCCGCCTTGGCCTCCTCGGCCTCGCGCCGGGCAGCCTGGGCGGCGGCGCGGGCGGTCGACGCGCGCTCGGTGGCTTCGCGCGCGGCCTGCGCAGCGCGCTCGGCCTTCTTCACGGCGGCCTCCTGCGTGATCTTGGCCTTGCGCAGCGGCAGCGGGTCCGACGACAGGTGCTGGGCCAGCTCGTTCTTGGCCCGGTTCTTGGCCACGATGGAGCCCTCCTCGGAGAGCCGCGTGAGCTCGGCCGTGCGCGCGTTGAAGGCCTCCTCCTGGGCCTGGAGCTCGTGGAGCGCGGCGTCGAGCTCCTGCTTGGCCGCCCGCAGCTCCTCCTCGCGCGCGTGCGCCTCCTGCTCGGCGGCCTTGGCATCGGCCTCCTGGCGGGTGGCGGTGCGCACGGCCTCGGCGGCCTCCTGGTCGCGAGCCTCCGACGCCTGGAACGCCGCCGTCACCTGCCCGAGAAAAGAAAAAAAAAGCAAAAGAAAAAGGAAAAGAAAAGCGGTTGGTTGAAAACGTTGAAGAGAGAAGGCACCCCATTTCTCTTCAAGATGGAGCACACCATCGAGGTGAAGAGGCCAGGGCGTGGTGGGGGGGAGGGGGGTACCTCGTCGAGGAGCTTCTGGGCCTTTTCGATGTCGTCCTTGTTGCCCTGGGGCGCGTTGACCAGCTCCTTCCAGTCGACCCCATACTTGAAGATGAGCATGTGGATCAGTGGCACCTTCTTGGCCACGCCCGTCTCGATCGCCCCCAGCGACCGCAACCTGCACGCCACCAGTTCATCAATCTTTATTGAGCCCCATGAAAAAGATGTGCAACCCCAAGAAGAAGAAGAGGGGAGGGCCGGGGGGGGGTACTTGTCGCGCATGGCCTGGACGGTCATGGTCTCCTTGAAGTGCTCGAGGAACCGGTGGGCCTGGAACTCGTCGAGCTCGGTGCCGTCGGCCTTGCGCTCCAGGTCCAGCTCGGCGGCCTTGTGCACAAAGCTCCACAGCTTCTCGGCCTCGCCCTTGGCCTGCAGCTGGTCCCAGAAGGCGTTGAGGAACCACACGGCCTGGTCCTTGTAGGGCCGCGCCGCCAGTTGAGCCAACTTCTGCTTCTCTGCCATGCTTTGCTTTGCTCTTCTTCTCTTCTCTACTTTGCTCTCTGCTCTGCTCTGCTCTCTTCTCTGTTGGCTGTTCTCAGCCACGCTGCTGTTGGTCCATTTTTTTATTGTACGCTCTTTGATTGGCTGGTGGTTGTCCTGCACGAAGAGGCGTAAGCAACATAACATGCCTCTATTGGTTCAATTTAAATTGGTGGGCACCAACCGCTAGCGATGAAAGAGGGAAGCCAAGGCGCCGGCCACCTGGTGCCACTTGCGGCGGTCGTCCGCGCCGGCCACCCACAGGGCAGCGGGTTCGTGCTCGTCCCATCGATCGATGCCCAGCCGTTGCAGCGTAGCCTGTATCTGCGACTGCGAGAGCGTATTCCTCTGCGACACGACGCACGACCGCACACGCACACACGACGCACCACACACGAACGCGCACGCGCACCACGCACCGCACACGCACACGCACACGCACACGCACGCACACGACACCGACACGTGGGTGACGAGCTCTCTCTCTCTCTCTGTGTGTGTGTGTGTGTGTGTGGTGTGTGTGAACTGGCATGGCGATGGTGGAGCGCCGCACCAGCGACTGTCTGAGCACTCGGTCGAGTAGTGTAAGGCCCTGAGCGTCGACGGCGTTGACATCGGCGCCGTGGCGCGCCAGCAGAGGGGCGAACTGGACGCCGAGGTAGTGGATGGGCGGCGCGCCGGTCTGCGGGTGGCGCATGTTGAGGTCCAGCCCGAGCCCGATGAGCGCCTTGAGGTTCCTCTCCAGCACGGACTGCGGGCCATGCCTGAACAGCCCCTCGAGCGCCACGTGGCTGCCCTCACCCACCAATAAGCGTCGAGATCAGCTCATTTCTTCGATCGAAAGCCAGTTGGCTCGCATGGAATAGTGGTAGTTAGTTACCTGGCGACGTTGAGGCCGTTGGCCGCCAGCAGCACCATGATGCTCGGCGAGCTGCTCCCCACCAGCGGCAGAACAACTGTGTTGACGTCGGTGGCCGCGTCGAGGGGCGTGGGCCACGCGGCCCGGTCGAAGAGCCATTGGAGCGCGTCGTGGGTGGTCTGCTCGACGGCGTCGTAGGCCGCCTTCTCGTGCGGCCGCCACCCGGACGCGGGGCGGCGGAGCCACTGGAGCACGAGCACGAGCAGCGACGTGCGGCTCGCGATCGGGCAGCAGTGCGCCAGCAGCAGCTCGCCCATGGCCAGCTTTCGCGCCAACTCGTCCGGTCGCTTGGTCAGCAGCGCCTCCAGCGCCGACTTGCCATCTCCCTGTCGTTGATCGTGTCGTTGGTCGTTTGCAGATTCATGTGTGTCGTGTGCCGTGTGTCGTGTGTCGTGTGTCGTGTGTCGTGTGTCGTGTGTCGTGTGTCGTGTGTCGTGTGTCGTGTGTCGTGTGTCGTGTGTCGTGTGTCGTGTGTCGTGTGTCGTGTGTCGTGTGTCGTGTGTCGTGTGTCGTGTGTCGTGTGTGGGTTACCGAGAGTTGGCGAGCGTCGGCGCCCTTGTCGAGCAGGAACTGGAGGGCTTCGACGGACGCGCTTGGTGACACGGCGAGAATGTGCAGGCACGTGCGTTGGCCGCCGGATTTGGTGCGCTCGTTGACGTCGGCCCCGCGTTCGACGAACAACGCCATCAGCTCCTCGCGGTCCTTTTCGGCCTGTAAGCAGGTCACGCGATCGCTCAGTTTGCAAGTATGCACTCTTTGTTGTGTGTCGTGTGTGTGCGTGTGTGTGGTCGTGTGTGTGTGTGTCGTGTGTGTCGTGTGTGCGGTAGTGCGCTGAGTGTCGTGCGTGTGCGTGTGTCGTGTTGTGTGTCGTGTGGTGACCGCCGTGACGGGGAGCACGCACATTGCACGCGACATGCAGAGGTGAAAAGTCCAGACCGGCGTTGCTCTCTTGCGCGCCCAACTCCAGAAGTCGCCTGGTGGTATCAACACCGGCGTGCTTCACCGCCAGCAGCAGCGCCGACATGATGGGCCGGTAACGTGTGGGTGCATTCAGCAGCTCGTCGCACATGTGACCCGCAACGAGGAAGTCGAACACTCTTCGCTTGTTCTGGCAGCACGCGACCTGCAACGCTGCTCGATCCAACATAGAAACATAACATGTTATCGTGGTTGGTTCGTTATTTGCGACGGGGATGTTGTTCGCATCAGAGGTTGTTTGTTTACCGGTGTAGCCGCGTGAGCTGTAAGAGAGCAGCAACTGACGATACTTCTCCTGGCTGTGCTCTTGGTGGATCTTGGCCAGGTGCGCCATCAGCGAGACGTGGCCTCCCTCCGCTTTTCAACACACGACACGACACGACACGACACGACCACACACACACACACGACACGACACACACACACACACGACACACACAAACGAAGAGAGAGAGAGAGAGAATGAGAGAGTCACCGATAGCGATGACATAGGAGAGAAGGAAGAGAGAGGGTACCGGCCAGGTGCCATAAGGTATGGGTGCTGGTGCCGCTTCCCTGGAGCAGGGCCTCGAGATGGTCGAGCGGGGTGGTAATCTCCGCTGGCGGTGCACCACCGTCATCGGAGTCGGTCTGCTGCGTGGACACCGCGAAGCGCAGCAGTACGCCCACGATCGCCAGCGAGCCCTGGCGCACGGCCGCGGTGACCATGTGTGGTGGCACGGGCACGCCGTGGGCGCACACCAGCTCCACAACGCGCTCGTCGCCGGAGCCGAGGGCGCCCGCCAGGGCGTCGCGCTTCTCTGGCAAGGCGCGCACCGCGGCCGGGCTGGTGGCCAGAATGTGGGCCAGTGCTGCGTGGTGCCCGCAATTGATGGCCCACGTCAGCATCGCATCCACGTTTGCTGCGCTCTGCTGATATCTGTGCCGCGTGCGGTCGTGCGTGTGTGCGATTGTGCGGTGATGTGTGCGTGCGCGTGCGCGTGCGGTGGTGTGTGCGTGTGCGGTCAGTAACAAGCCAACCGCACACGCACACGCGTGCTGAGGAGGTCGTACTTGTGGAGGAGACGCGCGGAGTGAAGGCAAAAAGTGCGCTGGTCGAAGCTCTTCTTCTTTTTGGTCGGCACCGGCCCGCCAAAGTGCCGCTCGTGCACCTGCTCGGCTCGCCCCCCCCCCACGCTGCTCGTCAGCGCAAGCAGCGCTGCGCGCGCTGGATGGGTCGCGAAGGTGGGTGAGTGAGGCACCTTGCGCCAGAGCCAGGGGGTGAGAGAAGACGAGGCCGCCGACAGGTTCACGAGGCTGTGCCACTGGCGGCACACGAGCTCGGCTCGGGCGAGGTCGTCGGGTGCGAGCCAGCGGAAGACGCGCACGGCCACCTCCTCCGGCAGCCAGCCCCCGAACATTGCGCCCTGCTCCTCTTCATCTCCATTTTCGTCAATGATCTCTTCCTCGTATGGTACGTCCTCGTCATCTTCATCTCCATATCGCCACAGCCCGCCCAACATCTCTTGGCAAGTTCGATTTTGTTTGTTTTTTAATTTTATCTTTTTCTTTTTCTGTTTGATTTAGACTTTTGTTTGAGCTATTTACAATCTTTTGGGTCATTCACAAGCAAACCTGAACGGGACTGAAGAGGTCCTTGTCCCACTCCAAGGGGGGATGCGCCTGCAGTGGTGCCATATACTCGGGCGCGGTAGAAGAAGGAGCAACTGTAGGAGTGATGTGGGCGGCATCCTTGAATTGGCTCCACTCCAGCGCCGCTCTCTGCTGCAGCTGATCACAGTACAGCTCCAGCTTCTGCTGATGCTGCTGCTCTTCATCATCATCGTGAGCTCCCTCTTCTTGCGCCCAGGGAGGGCACCTCACCCGCAGCACATCCTCCACACAGAGCACCGTGCATCGCAGCTGTGCGCGTAACCACACATGAGCTTCTCAGGGTCGGTTGTGTGTTGATTGTTGAATCGCAAGTGGTACGTGCCTGGCCTGTGGGTCCGTAGAAGAATTGCGCGCTCACACGGGCGTCGACCATGTGGCCCGTTCGCTGCATCATCTCCGCATGGTGGTGTACGACCTCACTTGCGCCCATCGGCGCCCTTGCGAACCCAGCCAGACGGCGAACACCGAAAATCGGTGGCACGCCGATGGTTAGTTCGAACCAACCACGATGATTGGGGGGGGAGGTAACCTACCCGGTGCCGAAGAGAAGGCGGTGGAGCTGCCAGGTCTTGTCGGGCACGAGGATGACGTACATGCGCGGGTCGCAGAACAGCAAATCCTCCTGCGAATGGCCCAGCAGATGGCACAGCTGCGGGTTGACGAACATCGGCCGAGCTTGCAGCGGTCCGGCGAACGAGCACACAAGCGTCGGCTTCCTGTCACATCACACCACAACCGGTGAGTTTTATCAATCACTTGGCCAACCAGAAATCAAAGTCACCATCGGGCTGGTTGTACCTAGGGTCGGCACCGACGAAGGGTCTGCCGCGCAGGTCGTAGTCCCACAGGAACGGAAAGTGTTGGAGCACCACATGATCGACGACCACGGGCGACGGCTGCGGCCTACAGCGATCAGATGCCTGTTTACTCCCCGATCGTAGATCGCGCAGGGCCTCGCGGTGCTTGCGCTGGCGCTTCTTCAGGCGGGCGTTGTCGTGCTCGAGCTGGCGCACCCGCTTGACCAGCCCGTTCAAGGCCTCCGCGAGCAGCGCGTTACTGTGGGCGTCGATGGCCCCGCTTTGCTCTCCGGTGGACACCACCGGTGGTGGTTTCGATGGTGGCAGCGAAGACCGGGGCTGGTGATGCTTGGTCGGTTTCATCGATGCGTTGTGGTTTCGGTGGAAAGGCGCGGCTGGTGCTGGAGGAGGAGGTGAGGTCGTGCCGGGTGTCTGCGTTGTGGGTGTGTTGTTTCCATGGAAAGGAGCGGCTGCGGTAGTGCCTGGCATCGGTTGGGGCACGATCGCCACTTGGCGCCGCGACGGCTCGTAACCTGTGGACACATAAAATAAAAAAGACGAACCAACAGATGGGCAACGTTGAGCGTGGCGGAGGTGCAACTTACTCCGACTCGCCCTACGTGGCCTTCCGCGCCGTCTGGCAACCGGCTTCTGGGCAGGACGAGAGCAGTTTGTAGGTTGCACGGTTGTGAAGCCAGGCGCCAGGCAGCCCTCGGGGCATGGCGCACCCCTATCTCGCCCCAGCTGGAGCTAAGCCACCACCATAACAACATAGCAAACAAAAAATACAAAAAGAAGTTTACCAGGTAAGGCTGCACGCTACATAAGGTACTGGCTCGACCATGGTCTCCATCATCATCCACTCCGCTGCTTTTGGCGTTGTCTGCCAGTGTTGTCCAGTTCTGTTCCTCCTCGGTCGGTTAGAAAAACATATGTTACCTTCTGCTTTTTCTTATCGACCAATGGGCAAGCCTTCGGCGGATAAAGCAAGGCCACGTTAATCAGCGATGTGGAGATAAACTCAGCAAGACCAACCGGGAGGTGTTTTGTTTGAATGCTACGATTGAATGCTACGTGATCTGTCCGCCCTACCCCATCTGTTGGGCCAACCAGCCAAAGACAGAGTCGATACACGCAGACGGGCAGTGGTCGTGGCTGTCGCTTCCCGCACTCACTCGCTCGCACCCATCCGCGTGCGTCGTGTCCTCTTCTTTCTTCGTCGTCGTCGTCGTCTTCTTCGTTTTGTCATTCTTTCGCTTGCCTCTTCTGTCCTCGCATTGTTGCTCTTCATCGTTGTCGTCATCGCGTCGGTCGAGCGGCGTGTCGAGCGGCTGCTGGCTCTTGGCCCAGTGGCGCGCCCTCGTACGCAACAGCCGGGTCACGTGCGGCGGCGTCTTGTCGTCGATGGTGTGGACTGAGTCGATGAACGCCACGGCGTGGATGGACGACGATCGCCGAGCGCGCGCGGAGGCGCTGAAGAGGTCCTGTCGCCGGTCCTGCATGATCGACAGGGCGTGGTTGCCGCCGAAGCTGTGCGCTACGATGGCCACCTTGCCCGTGCCCTTGATGCCGAACCGGGTGGGCGTGATGAGTCGGTCCCACACGTGCGCGATGTGTCGAAACCCATTCTCGTTGAACGGGATGGACACCTTGTCCTCGTATTCAACTTGTTCTTCTTCTCCTTGTTCTTCCTCCGCTTCTTCCTCTTCATCGTCGTCGTCGCTGTTCTGTCGTCGTCTCTTGTGACCTCTGGTCGCCGTTGCTGGCTTTGCTTTCGTTGCCTCGGCCTGCTTGCTGTTGATAGCCAGCTTTCTCTTTACGACCGCTTCGTTGTAGTTGGGGTTGAGTACGACAACCGCGTAGCCCTGTACACAGTGCGCACACGTACCAGTGATACCGTGATGGTGTGATGTTAGCAGTCGATGACTGTCATGGTATGTACGGTCCTGGGTTGAGTGACAGTGCACTTACCTCGTCCCTGGCCCTCGCGAGGTACGGCAAAATGGACCCGGTCTGCAGCGATTCAAACATGCACAGCTTACGCGCCCACTGTCCTGCCCTGCGCACCATATGGAGCGTTGAGCGCCGCATCATTCACGTGTGCTGCTCACATCAAGCGCTCTAGGCTAGGCGAGCGAGGGTGAATGAACCTCACGGGACCCATGCCGCAGATGAAGACCAGCAAGCGATCGGCGGCGGCCATGACTTCGGGCGGGCTCACGAAGACGTTGCACCGCACCTGCTCGCGCAGGGCTCGACACTCGCTCGGCGGGTGCCAGAACTTGCGCCTGTGCTTCTCGTTGGCCCGAAAGCAGTCGAGCCCGTAGCGGCATGCCGTTGGCTCACGCTCTCTCGGCCTCTTTCGTCCTTCTTGCTGTTGGCCTCCTTCATCATCACGTTGATGTGTGGAGGCCAGTCGCGCCAATGCTCTCCACTCATCTTCAGATTCATACGCAGGAAGCCAAATTTCGAGTAGCGCCGAATCGGATCGATCAGATGAAGAAGAGGAAGAAGAAGTAGAGGTCATATGCTGCTGGATGTGACGCACGACGGCTGCCCCCACGGCGTCGTAGTGCTCGGGTGAGATGAACTCAAAGGGCTCGTCGGTTGCCAACGAAACCAATCGCCCCTCATCGTTAAAATAAAAGCCCAAGTCCTCGAGCCCACTAGCCGCCTCTTTCTTCTTCCCGACTTGCTGCTCTTCCTTGTCTCCATCTTCTTCTCGCCGTCGTTTCATTCTTCGACAGAATCAAAGTCCAAGCCTAATAAAAAAAAATAAAACAGAAAAGGAAAATGGGCAACAAAATCGAACGGCCCGAGATGTTGGGCTGCGGCGAAATGGAGATGAAGAAGCAGAGATCAATGAGGAAATAGAGATGAAGAGGAGCAGGGTGCAATGTTTGGGAGCTGGCTGCCGGAGGAGGTGGCCGTGCGCGTCTTCCGCTGGCTCGCACCCGACGACCTCGCCCGAGCCGAGCTCGTGTGCCGCCAGTGGCACAGTCTCGTGAGCTTGTCGCCCGCCTCGTCTTCCCTCACCCCCTGGCTCTGGCGCAAGGTGCCTCACTCACCCACCTTCGCGCCCCATCCTCCCACAGCGCGTGCGCTGCTTGCGCTGACGAGCAGCGTGGGGGGGGGGCGAGCCGAGCAGGTGCACGAGCGGCACTTTGGCGGACCGGTGCCGACCAAGAAAAAGAAGAAGAGCTTCGACCAGCGCACTTTCTGCCTTCACTCCGCGCGTCTCCTCCACAAGTGCGGCCTCCTCAGCACGCGAGCTCACGTGTGCGTGTGCCGTAGGCTTGTTTGTTACTGACCGCACACGCACACCGCACTCACGTCACCGCACAATCGCACACACGCACGACCGCACGCGGCACAGATATCAGCAGAGCGCAGCAAACGTGGATGCGATGCTGATGTGGGCCATCAGTTGCGGGCACCACGCAGCACTGGCCCACATTCTGGCCACCAGCCCGGCCGCGGTGCGCGCCTTGCCAGAGAAGCGCGACGTCTTCTTGGTGGGCGCCCTCGGCTCCGGCGACGAGCGCATTATGGAGCTGATGTGCGCCCACGGCGCGCCCGTGCCGCCCCGCATGGTCATCGCGGCCGTGCGCCGGGGCTCTCTGGGTACCGTGAGCGTGCTGCTGCGCTTCGCGGTGCCTACACAGCAGACCGACTCCGATGACGGTGGTGCACAGCCGCCGGCGGCCATTACCACCCCGCTCGACCATCTCGAGGCCCTGCTCCAGGGAAGCGGCACCAGCGCCGAGACCCTGTGGCACCGGGCCGGTACCCGCTCTCTTCTTTCCCTCCTTTGCCATCGCTATCGGTGACTCTCTCTTTCTCTCTCTCTCTCTCTCTCGTTTGGTGTGTGTGTGTTGAATAGCGGAGGGAGGTCACCTCTCGCTGATGGCGCGCTTGGCCAAGATCCACCAAGAGCACAGCCAGGAGAGGTATCGTCAGTTGCTGCTCTCTTATGGTCCACGCGGCTACACCGGTAAACAAACAACCTCTCCCGCTATTCAACCGATGAGGAAGTGGTTGCAAATAACGAACCACCACATGTCATACATCATGTTGAATCGAGCAGCGTTGCAGGTCGCGTGCTGCCAGAACAACCGGCGAGTGTTCGACTTCCTCGTTGCGGGTCACATGTGCGACGAGCTGCTGAATGCACCCACACGTTACCGGCCCATCATGTCGGCGCTGCTGCTGGCGGTGAAGCACGCCGGTGTGGATACCACCAGGCGATTGCTGGAGTTGGGCGCGCAAGAGAGCAACGCCGGTCTGAACTTTTCGCCCCTGCATGTCGCGTGCAATGTGCGTGCTCCCCGTCACGGCGGTCACCACACGACACGACACACGCACACGCACACGCAAGACACTCAGCGCACTACCGTAGGCACGCACGCACACACACACAACACGGCGCATGTACTCGTGAACTGAGCGATCGCGTGACCCGCTTTCAGGCCGAAAAGGACCGCGAGGAGCTGATGGCGTTGTTCGTCGAACGCGGGGCCGACGTCAACGAGCGCACCAAATCCGGCGGCCAACGCACGTGCCTGCACATTCTCGCCGTGTCACCAAGCGCGTCCGTCGAAGCCCTCCAGTTCCTGCTCGACAAGGGCGCCGACGCTCGCCAACTCTCGGTAACCCCACACGACACCACACGACACACGACACACGACACACGACACACGACACACATGAATCGACAAACGACCAACGACACACGGCTGACGTCATGATGGGTGGATGTCGCGACACAGCGGGATCGGCGCCAGAGGGGTGGGAGGGGCGGAGGGCGGTGGGCAAGGCCGGCAAGAGCTACCAGTACCGGGTGCAGGTGTCGCCCTACGACTGCACCGGCTGCGACGTGTGCGTCAAGGCCTGCCCCACGCAGTCCCTCGCGCAGGTGCCCTTTGTCGACGCGCTCGACCGCGGCCAGGCCCGCCTGTGGGACTTTGCCGCCGAGCGCCTCCCGATCCGGAGCGAGGTCTACCCCAAGGAGTCGCTCAAGGGCAGCCAGTTCGCCAAGCCCTGCCTTGAGTTCAGCGGCGCGTGCGCCGGCTGCGGCGAGACGCCCGTCGTGAAGCTGCTCACGCAGTTGTTCGGCGACGAGCTCTACATCGCCAACGCGACGGCTGCTCGATCGTGTGGGGCGGCATGTTCCCGTGGAGCGCCTACACGACCAACGAGCGGGGGCACGGCCCGGCCTGGGGCCACTCCCTGTTCGAGGACGCGGCCGAGTACGGCTTCGGCATACGACACGCGGTGCGGTACCGGCGCGAGGCCCTGCGGCGCGCGGTGCAGCGCGACTTGGCCGCCGGCGCATATGCGGCCGAGCACCCGGTGCTGGCCGAGCTCCTGCGGCGGTGGGACGCCGCCTACGACGACCGCACGCAGAGCCCGAGCCTGGCGGCCAAGGTGCGCGAGTACCTCGAGCGCCTGCCAGCGCCCGCCGCCGTCGCGCGCGGCCCGCTGCGTGAGCTGCACGCCGAGCGCCACATGCTCGCTCGCAAGACGCAATGGATCATCGGCGGCGACGGCTGGGCCTACGACATCGGCTTCGGTGGGCTCGATCACGTGCTGGCCTCGGGCGAGAAGGTCAACGTGCTGGTGCTCGACAACGAGGTCTACGCCAACACGGGCGGCCAGGCCTCCAAGGCCACGCCGCGCGCGTCGCAGGTCAAGTTCGCCAACGCGGGCAAGACCACGGCCAAGAAGGACCTCGGCGCGATGATGATGCAGTACGGCAACGTCTATGTGGCGTCGATCTGCCTCGAGGCCAACCCGGACCACGCCGTGCAGGTCCTGGCCGAGGCCGAGGCCTTCGACGGGCTCTCGCTCGTCATCACCTACGCGCCCTGCATCGCCCACGGCATCAAGTACTCTCACTCTCTTCACCAACTCGCAACACGCGCACACGTACTCACTCCGTGTGTCGTGTCGTGTGCGGTGTGTCGTGCGTGTTGTGCGCGGTGCGTGTTGTGTCGTGTCATAGGGCGGGGATATCGACCGAGGTGGAGGAGGCGAAGCGGGCGATCAAGGCCGGGTACCACATCCTGTACCGGTACAACCCACGCCCCTCGACGCGGCCGTCGTCACTCTCCTCCGACCGAGTAGTCCACCAGCTCATGCATGTGTTGTGGCTTATGGGTTCAATCGTTGTGATTCTACTGAATGGCCAACCTTGAACAACTTACAAGGCTTTTGTTCCATGTGGATGATGTGGTAGGCTTCTATGCTGCGTTGGCTTCCACCAACTGCTACAGTGTAGCCAGCACACCTGCCAGCCTTGAGGCAGGTGATGGCAGGCCAGTTTCAGTGCATGATGTGCAAGCAGAGCATCTTACACAGCTCTGCTCACACACATGCCTGGGTGCTACAGGCAGTACTGTGCCAATGTCAACATCAAGCCCTTGTGCACCTGGGTGTGAGGGGTGGCAGGCACACCCAGATGAGGACTGATGAGCAGCCAAGCAGCCCTGCCTACCAGCGCCAAGCCTGACCAGTGAGATGCCCAGCAATTTGGGGATCTCCCATCTTCTGGACTTACATTGGCAACATCTTCTGCCTCAGCTGGTAGAACCCGATTCAGTAGTCAGGGAGAGGCCGCAAACATATTTCCTTTCCTGTCCTATCACGCGGCCCCAAGAAAGATTCCATTGGGCGGCGAGTTGACAAAGCTGACGCGGAAAAATGCCGCCCACGCTCTCTGCTCGAGAACGGGGCTGAGCAATAAGAAAAGAGGAAAAGAAAAGGCGAGACGCGCATTTTGTAGCTTTGCTGCGATTGGTTGCGAACACGTGAGCCCGGTCTCACAACCAGTCAGACTCAATATAAAGTTTCGGACACCTCCACTTCCACACATTCACCCCTCACTACCAACACCAGTCCTCCTTTGCACATTGCCTTCCTTACAATGTCCTCTACCATCGAAAAAGTTGTGGTTCTTGGCGGCACCGGCGCTCAAGGCTCTGCTGTCGTCCGAGGTACCTGCTTCCCGATTCTGGGGCCACTTCCTTGTTAACAACGTGCTCCGTGTCTGTGGTGCAGCTCTGGCCAGAGATGGCAAGTACCACGTGCGAGTGCAGACTCGCAATGCTGAGCACCGGGCGGCCCAGGAGCTGGCCCAGCTGCCAAACGTTACCTTCCACTTGGGCCACATAGAATCAGATCAGCTGCTGCGAGAGTCCATGCAGGGAATGGATGCCG